AAAAAAAAAAAAAAATCAGACCTACCTGCAGTCTGCCTATGCAACACTGAAACTTGCATTTCAACAGTAACAAAGCATGTGCTTTGTGATTATATAGATAACAGTTAACGAACACTCTTAACTGACTGCTGCTTATTTATTAGACAACTTTTTTAAAAGTCTGTGTATTAAAAAAAAAAAATTAAAGCAATAATTTTTAGTTGAAGCTGGAACTTTCTCTATTTGCTCTTGACTCTTTTTAATTGGAAATAATTTTAAGTTCTACTTGGTAAGGTTGTTTGTGGGCCTTTTAGTTTTAAATTCTGACTTGCGTATGCATCAGGTGCTTGCACTAGGATTGTAAATATTGGTCGTCTAACTTTTAGTACCTTAGAGTTGCAAAGTTACTGGCCTTAGTTTGAAATATCTTCCTAATATCCAGCCTAAAAATGTCCCTTATTGCAGTTCAAGACTGCTAATTCTTACGCTGTCCCCAGTAGTCACAGAGGTGACCTCCATCCTCCTTGTTAATGGCTTCATATATTTGAAGATGGTCTACTTAAATTCCTTGTCTCTTCTCCAGATTTGAATGATTCCAGGTCTTCCAGCCTTTCTTTTGTAAGTCATGCTTGCTAGACCTCAAATTTTTCTTGTCTTCCTCTAACCTTGTTACATATTTTTCCATGTCTTTAAGCATGGGTCCCAAAACTGGACATAGCCCTCGCTGGTGAAGCCTCACCAGTGCTGAATAGAGGGAAGAGAATCACTTTTCTTAACCTGCAAATAGCAATCCTGTAAATACAATCCACTGCTTATTTAGTGGATTGGAGAGGGTGAAAAGTGTGTGTAAATACAACTTTGACAAAAGGAACGCTGATCAGCTTGTGGCGCACTAACCTCCAGGTCTTACTGCAAGACCTGTAGTTGAGCCAGTTGTTCCCTAGTTCACGTGTGCATTTTTTTTTCTTCCTAATTACAGAATTTCACACTTCTTGAAGTTTATCCAGTTAGTTTTGGACCACTTATCCAATATATCAAAGTTACTTTGTATCCTAATCCTACCCTCCAAAATGTCTAAACTCCAATAAATTTACCAAGTGTCCACTGAGTTCCATCCTGCAAATAGTCCATCATTCAGTGCCTGATCCTGGATAAACCGTAGTAAACTTTACTTGATACTTCTTTCCACTGTGTCATCAATGGCTTGATATCTAATCATTGAACACAGTGCTACTAATTATGGATGCACCATATTGTAACTTTTTTTCTCTAAATCTTCCATTGCTACTAACTTAATGTTTAAGAATGCCATGCCTCTGGATTACTTCTATGCAAAAATAATGGTTGCAAGAGGTGCAGTATCAGTCGGTTCTGGAACTTTGCAATATATCTTTGCTTATTAGCTTCATACTTGGTGGGTTTCTGTAGATATTCTTGCTACCTGCTCTTGCACTGTGAAGCATTTGGTGTTGTTTGTTAAAAGACAGACTAATGTGTAGCATATAAAACTTAACATACTTGATGGTTTAATTTGGATGCATTGCAGTTATTGCCTTTCCTCATCAGCTTCTATTTTTAGAAATTAAGTCTAGACAGCGATCATGTCTCAAAGCATATGAACAGAATTCTCTGCTTCATCCCTAGCCACCTGGTAAAACAACAGGTTTTTTTCCTCACTCTCATCCCTTCCAAGACCTATCTTTTTCTTTGTTGGAATTGAATTGACCCTGTAACTTTTTTTTTTTTTCCAGCTAAAATGGTCTTTGGATTTAAATAAAGGCAGTAGCTGTTTTGGGCCAACTCTTCTATGAATGCTCTAAAAATCTGTAACAGAATAAGAATTGTACTTTACATAGCACTCTTACAGTACTAATTAATGACTACAATCGCAAAGTAATTGGTTGTATTCTGATCAAATGCTTATGTACAACTGGGCTAGAAGGGGGCCATTCTAGGTGTCCTGTGCTGGCTGGCTCCCCCAGGTTAGTTCACACTAGCAAAGAACTTCTCTTCCTCCACTTTCTTCCTACCCCGCTAGACTTATGTAGTCTTCTGAGTAGAAACTAATTGGACCCAGCTCAGCTTCCACACATCTATCTTACTCCCAGTACACAAGTTTCTTGCTTGCTTTGTTCACTCCTGGCTGGCTTCCTCATCAGCCTCCAGGAGCTAAACTCTAGGACTTGCAACCACTGCCACTAATCTCCTTACTATCACCTCCACCCTTTCTCCAGTATTGTCATACCTGTGACACCACACTTCACCCTACCATTATGCAGCATATTGCCTACCTGTCTCTCTCTCTTTCTCTGCATAAACTTCAGTTTCCTGAAAGGTTGTCAGGCTTATACCTCATGTGATGAAACATCCCAATATTTATTGTATAATTACAGTGCATTCTCAATTCCTACATCCGTCTTACTGTTATGTTTAAATTGTAAAATGTTTAGATCAGGGACTTGTTCTTAATTGCTGATGGATCATAAAGGTAAAAGTAAAGATTAATACAAAAACTCCATCCTACCACCTGATGTAAATGTAGAAGGAATAACAATGCATTTAAGAGTAAGGAAGCACACAAGGTTACTTTTTCTTGTAATGGTTCATTTAACAGCATGTAACAGCAGCCTCAGGGTTTTGGGTCTCTTACCTTTCCAGCTCCATTTTTATTTTCAATTCCTTGTAGTCTGCTGCAGTGAATTGTCACCAAGACTTGGTGTATCAGTCTTAGTGCCGATGTTCAGTGGTGCAAATGTGAATTGCACTAAGCAGTAGCTGGTAAATGCATCAGTGCCTGTGCTTGTGCTCAACTCCCTAAAGTAAATGTGACTTCTGTATTTGCTGCCGTGGATGTAGGTTTATCAGCTTTAAGTTGGGGAGGGGGGGAATATCCTAATTCCTTAAAGTAGTAATACATGTATATAAAAGTAGATTAAACTTTAACTGCTGATACTTTATATGCAGGTGAAAAACTGGGTCAAGGAATTAAGAAAAATGTTGGGAAATGAGATCTGTTTATGTATAGTTGGTAAGTTTGTCCTTTCCTTTATGCAATTCTAAATGTATCCTGTCTTGTGACTAAGATGTTTTGCTTTATAGTGGAATGGTTAGAATATTTTGTCTCAGTCTGCTCTTAAATTACTTTTGCCTCTAGCAGGTTCACTAGAATGTGCAAGAGTATTTGTCAAAGTTGCCTTGCTCTTTGTCTTTAGTGACAGAAAAAGCAAGGTGTTATCCTCTCCACTAAACAAGAAGGCAGTTACAAGTGGTCTTGTTTTGGCTTTTCCCTGGCAGTAGAATAAGTTCTAAGGGGAGCAGGGGGGAGCTTTAAACAATAAATTCCACGAATACTTACTGCATGTTAGTGTGACTTCCTGTACTGTTTCTGGCTTATTTGTCCTTTCCAAGAAAACGTTGAGTGCATGCTCATCTTCCTTTCATTGGTCTAAAATATTTCTAATTCCAAATGTTTAGGCACTTTTTTAAATGGGCTTAGGCACTTGAATCAACTACTTTAAACATTAAAAAGTGTGCGTCTGCTGTACTAAAATAAGTAAGATGATCCCAGTCCCTTAAGGGACTGAGTCTAAAGGGTTTTTTAATGTATTCTTCCCCCTCCTCCCCCATTTTTAAACATTGTTCCTATAATACCAATCAGACCGATTTAATACTGGTCTGCTAAATCATAAAATGGAAAATGTGAGAAGACATGAATAGAAGCTATATGTTAATGATGCATCTGCTTAAGCAGGCATGTTAAACGATCACAGACAAGTAACACTTAATGTGAAAATAATCTTCAGTGCATATATAAAGCATCTAGAAGGAAAAAAAAAACTAATAACATTTTGTCCCACTTCTTGCCTTAATAGGGTGGTGATTAGGGCACTTGCCCAGGAAATGGAAGACCAAGTTCTAAGTTTTCTAGAGCTTGGAACCTACATCTTCCATGTCACGATGTCTGTGCTGTGTTTCTGTTGTGTTTTTTAAGGAGGGCTGAGGACACCCTCCATCTTGCCTATTTTACCCAGTGACCCCGCTTCAGTAAAATTCATTAGGTCATAAGAGCAAATAGGAAGAAGTGTGACTGGAGTTAGATTGGCCTCTGCTGTGAAGGGGTGGCCTTCTTCTGGCTTCTGCCCTCCAGTTCTGTTATACTTTTTTTTTAAACTCACTGGCTTTTCAGCTGTTTCACTTTGTTCTACTTAATCTACAAAGGCTTTTTAACACTGGTTTTTCTCTCTCCAACAGGTAACAAGATAGACTTGGAAAAAGAGAGGCATGTTTCAGTTCAAGAGGCAGAAACGTAAGTGTGTGTGCATCTGGCCCAGGGTGCAGGGCAGGATTCTTCACACGTTTCTTTTGCCAGTTAAACCCTTTTAATTTCTAACTAGAACGTTACTGCAAGAGTGACAATGGTCTTGCAAAACCAAAGGACCAGTATTGGCAGTACTGTTAAATAACTGGAGCTAACTAGCAAACACTATTAGTTCTGCCACTGTTACTAGTATTGTTAACATTGGAGCCAACATGGAGAAATCTATCTTTGGAGGATTAATGAAGTCTAAATATCTAAATTGGTAGTCTTCCTCCTTTAATTTTTAAATGGAGTTTAAAACTAGAGGCAACCCCTACTTAGCATTCTTAACTGGTTCCTGAAAAATCAAGCATTAAGTGAAACTGAAGGTATTTGACAACCCAAGATGGCAACTGCAAGCATTACGAAACTTGCTGAGCACTAAGTAAAACCGGGTATCAATTTCAAATGAGCATTATAGTGAAACGGCATTAAGCAGGGGTTGCCTGTATTACTTAAAATTGGCTTCTAATAGGCATGCAGTTTCAAACTTTAAATAGCAGAGCTTTTAACTAAACATGGGTAGATATGAGTTGCCTTTTAAATATGAAGGATGTCTTGTGCATTTCTGCCCCCCCCCCACTAAAGTATAAAACTGCTGAATTTTAATGCTCTGAACTCTGCCTCAAGCATTTTCTATATCTTCATTACATACAGATATGCAGAATCAGTGGGAGCAAAACACTATCATACTTCAGCCAAACAGAATAAAGGCATCGAAGAACTCTTCCTTGACCTTTGTAAAAGTAAGCATTATGGTTTTTTTTAATGTTACAGACAATGGCTCAAGGTCATGGCAGACTTTGAGACCTGAAGTCCTAGATCATATAATTGTGTAGTAAATCTGATTCAGTTCCCTGAATTAAACTGTAAAGCAAATGAGGAAAATTGTTTTTTGGGGTTTGTTGTTGTTGGCTTTGTTTTTGTCTTTGTTTTTTTTCTTGTGCAAGCTACTTGGACTGAATTTGTATTTATAATAATTAACAACTAGCATGCTAATTTGCAATTTTAGTGTCTTTGAAGTATTTCACTCCCCCTGAGTACTGCCTTGTATATTGTCTCTTCTTCAGTTTGAGAACACTTGAGCTGTAGCTTTTCCTATGATCCTTTTTACCATTTTTAGTCCTTTCCAACACTGTTCTAGAGAACTTGCCTCTGGAATTCTGGCTTCAGATTATCTCCTTCTTTCTCAAACTCAGTTGAAGCTTGTTGCATGGCATCCCAAGTCTTATGACCATTCAGGAATAAGTTTGGGATCTAAGTGCCTCTGTGGATGCAGCAATTAACTATTTGAATGAATGCCCCTTCTTGAGGGCCTAAGGCTAATCTGTGAAGATTATCTTGGATTTCAAAAAAGACAACAAGCAGGAGCTCCCTGTTCCTCTTGCAAATGAAGACTTGAGTTCAGTAGTTACCCATAACAAGTCTGCTCAGTCCTAAATCCCAACTAAACTCAACTTTAGGCACCTATAGCTTTTAAGTATTCCAGTCTTATGGGACCTAAACTGGAATAAAACTAAAGACTAAAAATGATTACATCTCTAGCTTTGAAAGGCAAACAACTTCTTTTTCTTGCTGAATTATTAGTTACCAGGTTGATTTGTGTGCATGGAGCTTTAAGTAATTGAAAAGTGAAGAAATACTAAATGAAAAATCTCTTAAATTGCAGTGGAATGCCATCCTAATGAAGTCCTTCTTTTCCAGGAATGATAGAAACTGCTCAAGTGGATGAAAGAGCAAGAGGCAATGGTTCCAGTCAGTCAGGAACTGCAAGGCGGGGTGTACAGATCATTGATGATGAGCCACAAGTACAGAGCAGTGGAGGGTGCTGTTCTTCTGGATAACTGTAAAACTGTGGATCACTATCCTCTCAACCTGAAGACTGCCATATTCTAAGTCACACATTCTTTACCAATGGAGTAATAGAATTAACAGTATTTAAAAAAAATAATCACACTTGTAACACTGCAGAGACCTTAAGTGCTAAACTAGTGGAGTCTGTGACCAGAGAATTGGCATTTTCTACAGTGGTTAACAAAGCAATTACCAATGGCCTTTTTACATATTTTTCTTTAATGAGGAATAATATGCATGTAGAAAAGACCTACTTAAAGGCTTCATTTATATTCTTTTAAATCAGATCATTATTATTTAATAACTTATATACATTGTTGGAATGGTAATACGTTTTTGCAGCCCTTTGTATTTTGTGGTAGACTGAATTGTATCACTTCTGGATGGCACACTGATTGGGTGGTTTTTTTTCTTAGCAGATACCTGAAGTAATATTTTTGCAGGGCTTGCACAAGCCCAAAACTGTCAACTACTTTGATATACTCTATATTCACCGTGTATGCCAAGCTGATGAAATACATTGTAAATTACATTAAATATTTTATCTGCTTTTAAAAGTGCAGGTGCAGAAATATGTACATCAGTCTTGTCAGTGATTTGTGAAGTGAATCAGTCAGTGAAAAGATGCAAGCTTTTCATTTGTACTTCTGTCAAACTGCTCTGTCTTCATTCCCTCCCCTTGCAAAAATCCTAACAGCTCTTTAGGAGCTCTGAGTATGTGCAGAACTCAATCTCTTAAGCCTTTTCCTGGCAAGTAGCAGTGTTCAAAGCACCTACTTCTGGCAGAGAAGGAATACTTCCTTTTAAACTACTTGTAATCCAGAGGTGTCTGAGTCCCAACTGAACAATGGAGCGTACTGACATCTCGGCTCTCCAAATGCTTCGGTTCCTAATCTCCTCAGGAGACTTAACCTTTTGTCCATTAGGTAGCCACTAAGGCAGTCCCGCTCTGGGGGGAGTTCTGACCGTTTTGAATCCTTGCCTCTTGAGACGGCATTTACACTTTTGGTTAATAAGCATTAGTTCTCTTATGGCAAAGCTTGAGTGAACCAATTTAACTTTTCTTAAATTTCTTGTGTGGTTGACTGTAGATAAAGGATATGGAACTTACAAGGTGCAGTGTAACTGTAGGGACACTAGAAAACTAAACTATTCCTGCTTTGGGGCTTGTATTTGGGTTCTCTCCCCACCCCTACCCCCCACTGTAGGTACTTACTGAAACCCACATCTAAGGTTTGGGGAGGAGGGATTTTTTCAGAAACATAAAAGTGTGTGAATTTAATGTCCACAGAAAGAACACAAATGGTGGCAATTAACTTCAAACCTGTTTTGTGCTCTGACTTTTTTTTTTTTTTCTACGTAACTTGTCATGCTTGGAAAAAACAGTAAAATTTACGTCTCTGACAATAGATTATTCTTTGGCCTTGCTTTTTCTGAAGGGCAGAATCACTACTGCATTTATTACTTACTGTGAATGCACTGAATGGTGTGGGGAGAAATCTGTAGAGATGGTAACTGCTAATAAGGTTTGAGGGTTTGTTTGTTTTTTTTTTTTAACTGAGCATCTTCAGGTCACTTTCTTTGTTCCAAAATTTTTTAAAAATGGCTTTACCATGTACTATTTTCTAATATGTATTTTTAGCAGTAATAGTTGAATTAAACTGTAGTATAAAGATACATTTTGGCTTAAACTTGATCAACGTGTTCCCTATAACAAGTATTTAAGGAACACCTTTAAAAATGTTTTGACATCACAGATGTCTGTCTTTGCAAAGGAAGCAGAAAACAGTAACTTTTACACCAAGCAGTGTATGAGCTCAGTGAAGAAAATGCTGTTTGTTGAAGCTAAGTAGTATATCTTTTCAAGACTAAAAACAAGCTGGAACACAACTGTAGAAATTTAAGGTCATGCTATATATAGCAATGCTATTTTATTGACTGCTGTTATTCTTGAGTTAAGTTGTGATACTAATACCTGGCAAACTTACTGTGATCTGTGCATTCTTAGTTTTGTCCAGCTAACCAACAAGCTAGTCCTGTTTTATAAGATTAAGAACTCTTCTTAATTCTTAAAAAAAATTCTAGGCTGTTTTAACTTCATTCTTCTATGCTAGTTTTTCATAAAGCTTAGCACTGCTATCAGAAGTGAACTTGGAAGTCCACGTAGTAGAGAAAGGAGTACGCAATCTATTTACAAGGATGAAAGGAGAGCTTGCTAGTCTCCATTCTAACTGCAGTGCTTCACTGTGAATCAGTTGGCTCCAGCAGATGTAATATGAAAGAGAAATGTGGAACTTGGATGTCTTAACTGTACTTCAGGGGGTCTGAAAAGATGGTATAGTCTTTCACTAATATTAAATTGCAGCATAGAAGAACTACAGCTAGTCAGATCTTCAAAACGAGCTGAAGCAGGACCATGTGCTAATTTCAGTGTAACTTAGTACAATAATATACAACTGCAGGCAGCTTTGCATATTTTGAGTTATATGACAAAAAACTTCTGAATTATTAAATTTTAAAATTTACTCTAGGGCAACTAGTCTGGATACAATACAAGCTCTTGCTTCTAAAAAATAAGAAATTCAGTGAAATGGAATGTGGTAAACTGAGCTTACAAAAGAAAATACGTTACAGCTTAATAGTGCTTTGGCCAGAAAAAGTATTACTTTTAAAGCCTGTTGCAAGCTTTGTGTTCAGAAGGTTGCAGAAAAGGATTACATATTTTACAGGGTAGCAGTAGCCAAGTAGGGAGTGGGGACAACTCCCTACTTTTAATTTAAAAGTAGTGAACTTTCAAGCTTTACTTTTTTTGTTTTCATCTATTACTGATCACAGTCAAAAATCAGGTTCTAGACTCGTTTTTCACTAGCCTTTTACTGAGATGTAGTGTGCATCTTGTTTTGGGGGTAGTCAAATTCCCTCCCTGTTGTTTTTCCCCCCAGTCATGAGATAACTATGTTCTAAACTTCTTTATGCAATGACTAGAGAAGTTTCAGGTGGGGGTGGGGCAAACAACTCTTAAAATGAAAAAGGGGCCCAGAACTGATACTTTTGGAACTATACTTCATAAGACCTTTATTAATGAACAAAAGCATTGGCTGTAAAAATTAGCAATTTTTACCTTTTGTTGGTGAATGGGGGCTAACGTGGGGGCAATCTCTGGATCCTGGGGGAGACTTTATTTTAATATGAAATAATGGCCATGAATAGGCCAAATGTGGGGAAACATGGGCATATCAGAAGATAGGTTAAGATCCTGGATGACCTTGACAGATGGGATTTACGAGTAGAGTAGAATGGAACCAGATGAAGTTTAACAGGGGGAAGTGCAGGGTTTTTCAGCTGGGTACCTTCACCACAACTACCTGATGGGTGGGCTGGCACAGCATCTGAGTGAGACCTGGAGGTCACAGTTGCCCAGAAGATGAACATGAGCCCATGGTGCCATGAGGCTGCCATGAGGACAAATAGAACCCTGTTGTGCATCAGCCAATGTGTGGCCAGTAGACCCAGGGAGGTGCTCCTTCCTCTCTAATAGGCATTGGTGAGGCCACAGCTGGAGTACTGAGGTGCTCAGAACTGGACATATTTCAAGAAAGATGTGGATAAGCTTGAGAGGGTACAAAGAAGGGCCACTTGTATGATTAAGGGCATGGAGGATAGGCTGTATGAGGAGAGTCTCTGGGAACTGGGCCTGTTCAGTCTGAGAGAGAACTGAGAGGTGACTTGATGGGTCCCTGCAAGTACATCGGGTAAGCATCAAGATCTAAGGGAGCAACTCTTCAGGAAGGCACCTCAAGGGAGGGTGAGGGTCAGTGGGTCACCAGAATCTGGAACACACTCCCTGCAGAGGTGGTGCAGTCACCATCCTTGGAGGTGTTCAACACGAAGTTAAGCAAGCACCTTGAGCTCATCTGAGCCCTAACTTCCTGCCCATGGCAGGAGACTGGATTTGATGATCTTACAGGTCCCTTCCAGTCCTTTGATTCTATAACAGCTGAACTCTGATGTCAAGCTATAGAGTAAGTGCTGTTCATACTATTTCCTTGATAGCAGCTGGACAAAGTCCAGCTAACTTGTCTGGGAACATCATCCTTCCTCTTCCATACTAAACAACTCCTTTTCAGAACTTTGTCTGCAGACAGAAACAGTATCTTTTTGGCAGAAAAAGAATAGTGAAGGTGAAAAGACAGGGCTCAATGGCAGCTATGTCAGGTATTGGTAATTATGTATCTTTCCTGCAAGAGTTTGGTTAGCTTGTATTTCTAACTGTTGCCCTGAATTACAAAATGGGAAATCTGTTTTCTAACCTCACCATCCAATCCTATCCATTGATTCTCAAAGAGTGTGTGGCAAGCTTACAGATCAACTAAAATGCCCACTCTATCAAAAAGTGGTCAACTGATTGCTTTTGCTTGTTTGTGTTTTCTTCCCTTTCAAGGAAAGTTCTTAACTGCTGAGGAACGCTTAGGGGAGATGAAGCTTCTGTCCAGATTCAGACACTCAGAATCTTAGGTCCTTGTTCTTCTAACACTAACAGAAGGCCTGTCTGTCCCTGTAAACTGTCGTCTTAATGGCTGACAGATGTGAATTCATTCTTTAATAGTCCTATCGATGCAAGCATTGGCACGCTGCAGGTGCTCGCAGCCCACATGGGGCTCTGCCTCTCTCCCCCCCCCCCCCCCCCCCC